GCTTCACTGGCCCATGTTGATATTGTGATCATTGCACTCATCCCGGCTGAGGCAGATCTGTCACTGGCCATTGGACGGCCACTCATGGCGGCTCATGGTAGCTCACGCTGGCTGCTGGCGCTCACACCGGCTGCTGCCCGCTCACACTGGCTGCTAGCCACTCACGGTAGCTTACAGCAGCCCACTGCAGCTCCACTGCAGCCTATGCCATCGCCGGCCACTCACAGCAGCTCGAGGTCAAGCTGTTGTTCACCATTTTAGCTGTAGAAGGTGCAGAGTCACTGGCCCATGTGGGATCCAAACCGGCGGCCCTGCTGCTCAGAGCTTGTGCTCCCAAGCCAACTCTTAACCAGTGAGCCACTCGGCCGGCCCATCTAATGTATTCTTCATTTCTGACTGGTTCTTTTTCATGTTTTCTATATCTATTTTTATGTTTTCTATCTCTTTGTTGAAGTTCTCCCTGAGATCACTGAGTACGCTTATAACCAACATTTTGAACTATGCATCTGGTAGAGTGCTTTTCTCCATTTTGTTTAGCTTTTTGTTTTGTTATTTTATTTTATTTTTTGGAGCTTTGTTCTTTCATTTGGGACATGCTTCTTTGTCTCATTTTGGCTGCCTCCCATTGTTTGTTTCTATGTATTAGGTAGAGCTGCTACATCTCCCAGTCTTAGTAGCATGGCCTTATGTAGTCGAGTGTCCTTATGCAGGTGTCCTGTGGGGCCCAGTGGCACAGTCTCTCTCATGAACTGAGCCGGGTGCTCCAGGTGTGTCCCTGGTGTGGGCTGTATGTTGCCACTTGTTGTAGCTGAGCCTTGATTGCTGTTGGCATGTCAATGGGAGGGACTGACCCTCAGGCTAACTGGCTGTGAGGACTGACCATGACTACAGTGGGGGAGCTGTTGTGCAGGGGCTGACCCGACAGAGCAGGATTCACTTTAGTGAGGTTCTGGTGCCTGCCCTATCTGCCCTTTGGGTGTGTCTTCTGGGTTGGGTGGTGCTCTGGTGTGGTCTAAAGGTGACCACTGGGTATGTTGGTTCTGGGGCCTCTAGGGAAGGGCTCTGTTACAGGCCAAGGTCAGCTGCTGCCTGTGCCCTGCCCAGGGCCACTCAGTATGAGCTACAAAGTGACCTGCAGATGATTGTCACTTGTGCTGGTCTGGGAGGCACCTGGTAGAGGCTCAGCTGTGAACTGAGACCAGCTGCTGCTAGTGCCGGGCTTGGGGCTGCTCAGCAAGAGGCGCAGGGCATGCTGAGGCCCGATGCTGCTTGTTTGGGGTTTGTGAATCTTTGAGAGATTTTAGAAAAGTTCGCTGCATGAGCCAAGACAGGCCATTTGTATGGAAAATCCACTGGAGGCAGCTTGGGTAAGCCTGCAAGTTGGGTGGGACAGGGTGAACAGTGTTAGCCAGGTTGATGGAGACAGATATGGCGGCCGCCTGTGTCTGCATACTGGACTACAAGGGGAAGGCTCAACAAAGAAATCACTTTGTCAGTGACAGCAACACCAGGGCCCGGAGGTGACAGCTGTAGCAGCAGTCGTGGGGCAACCAAAACCAGACGGCTCGTGTTGCCTGTCTGTGGTTCTGACTGCCTGGCTTCCTTTGGCTGTGGTCAGTTTTCTGGGTGTGGCTTTCTCAACTTCCCATAGGTTTTGTATTAATAACTTCCCCCACATCTTTCTAATGATTTCCTATATACTTAAATTAGCCAGAGTCACTTTTGGTAATTTGCAACCAAAACCTCTGACCGGTACTTCAGGTATCCACCATTAGCTCTGGTATCTGGCACTCCCGACTTTCCATCTCCCTTCGTGCAGCTATCTACCCGCTTCTGGTCACTGGAAACCACTCTCCCACAACGTCTGTTCTACTTCTCTAATGCAGTCTATCTTGGTCTCCTTGTGTTCCAGGATTCCTCCTTCTCCCCAAGTCATCCCTCAGTCACCCACTTTCCTCATTCTACACTTTTCCTGGTTATCTCAATGCTTTCACAACTTCAGATCTCACCTGGGTGCTGATTACTCCAGTTATTCAATTGCCCACCAGACATCTTTACTAGGATATCCTATAGATATATCAATGTGTCCAAAAATTACTTCATCACCTTGACCTTCACACATTTTTTATCCTATTCCACACCCTGACTCAAGTCCTTACTATGCACCAAGTTAAACAAGCTTTAAGCTATCTTTGACCTATATCCAAGAGGTCACCAAATCCTGTCAATTCTGCCTTAGTAACAAGTTTTTCTTTTGTTTCTTTAAAACAGTAAATCTGACTCTTCATCTGTAGTCCCAGTTTCTACCCTATTTCAAGACCTTATCACTGATTCAACTTTTATACTATATAGTTATCGTTCTAAGTCACAAAACTGATCAAGATGCCTCCCTACCCACAGAGCCCTACTCGGTAACCTTTATGATACGTAGCAGGAGCCTAGGGAGACAGATCTTCAGAGGTCTCAGAGGCCTCTGGAGGTTTGGCAACAATAAGAGTTCTGGGAGTCAGCCCTCTTAGGTAGGGAAGTTATCAGGAAACCAAGTACCCACTGCCCTGGAAAAATAATCTTCTGGGTTCTAAGGTTTCCCTTCCCAATAATTCAAAATCCACTGGTCCAATTTGCATCTGGACCAAGGAACCTCTTAGAAGAAAAGGGAGGCCCTTATTCCTTCCTTTAGAAGTTCAAAGGCAACCTGATGCAATGGATGTCCCCACCTGAGGTCTACTGGCACACAAGGACATCAAAAGCCCCAAAAGCAGCAGTTCTCAACCTGTGGGTCGCAACCCCTTTGGGGGTCGAACGACCCTTTCACAGGGGTCGCCTAAGACCATCGNCAGAGCAGGTAACACGTGGCACACCGCAGTCCCACAGAGAGCTTTTCAGCCCCCCACTCCCACCCTGCCCCCGGGCAGGGTTTCCGCTTACCCAGCAATACTGCGCCTCACAGCTCCCTGGGGTCCTGTAGGCCCTTCCCCTCTCAGCAGTACCAACCACGGCCTGGACGTTCACCCATTTTGCCAATACTACTGAACGCCTGCTTGGTGCCGGCACTTGCCTGCAGCAGGGGTGATGCATGGTGACCACAGCCACGAGGCCTCCGCCCAGCCCACGCCTCCATCCAGTCAGGAAAGACCACGTTCCCACACACACTGTTATTACTACAGAGCACAGCAAGTTCTATGAGGAAAAGAGAATAACAGAAAACTCAGATTGAAGGTTAGGGAAGACTGTCTGAGGAGGCAACATTTCTGTGGTGACCCAGTCAGCCAGATGGAGAGCAGGGTCAGAGAGAAGAGTCACCTGAGAGGCTCAAAGAGCTCTGCAGGAAGTGAGACACTTGCTCACAGTCCCTGCTCCATCACTATACAGCCTTTCTCAGGGAGATGAGGCCAGCACCATCTCTCAAGGAGCCTGACCTGGCGGTGCTCACCGCCTGGGGCCACCACAGGCCCAAAAGCCAGATCTCCCAGGTCCAAATAGACATTCATCTCACTCAAGAAATCTGCATGCCCATTTATCAATTTACAATAAGAAACACAACAGCCACATAAACCTGACGCCTTGCACGTAACGTGCTGCATTCTCTCAGTGCTAACTGCTCAATGCACAGAAATACAAACCCATCCCAGGTAACAGGACACTAGAAATTAACATGATCATCATATTACCTCCCACATGGGAAGCCCACTTATAATGGGAAACTGCTGAGTGGGCACACACTCAACCCAGGAGGGCGGAGTCCGGATGGTGTTCCGGGGCAACAGCACCCTGGCCTGAGGCCCCCATCCCTCTACAGGGACGCCACACGGGCACCTGACCTCGCGGCTCATGCTCGCTGCATGCATCTTCACTTCTGGGACGGGTTCTCCACCGAGCCCGACTACCCAGGCCAGTGGTTCAGCTCTGTCTCTGCCTCTGTGCCAGTCCCTTCAACTGACTCCCCTCCTACATGGACACATTCCATCCTTGTCTCTGTGTGACTGGACAGGCAACCATCCATCTCCTTCCAAGGAGACCATATTGGTTTTACAGTCTAGAGCCCTGAGATGGGAATCAGCTTCCCCCATCTAAAACTCTGAGGGCGTACATTACAGTCCCAAAGAGCCTCAAAACAAGGCCCTCTCCCAAATTCTCTAAGCCTAAAATTCTTCTCTGCCCATAGCCTGGAACAACCTGCCTGTTGCTATCTTGCCCCAATCTGCATCCCAGTCTTTAAACTTGCCTCATCTCCTGGTCTCCACACCCTCAACGCTTCACTTCCCTCCTAAACAGCCCAAGACGCACCTTTCCAAAGGTTTCCTTACCTTCTGTCTAGCCCTTCCACCAGATCCACTGCTAAACCCAATCCTGGATAAACGCAATGACCCTTTAATCCAAGCCAGACATAAGCACAATTCTGATTAAAACAAACCAGAAGGCAAGGCAGTTCTCCGACCTTGAGAGTACAACAAACAGCCAGACTCAAGAAGGCCCCAGGCCTTGTGGCTGCAGAAGCCAGAAGCACTCAGGGGTTGAGTACACACCGACTCTGAGTGCTGGGCTTGCGGACACAAGGGTTAGGCTTCCCAACGAGAAGGGTAACCAAGGATCTTTATCCAATACCTGGTACTCCGGCTTCCTGCCCTCTACTTATTCTTTTTATTTTTAATTTTTTTTTCAATTACAGTTGACATACAATATATTCGTTTCAGGTGCACAACACAGTAATTGGACATATATAACTTAAGAAGTAATCACCCTGATAAATCCAGTACCCATCTGACACCATAGTTATTACAATACTGACTATATTCCCCATGCTATACTCTACATCCCCATGGTTATTCTATAACTACCAATTTGTACCTCTTAATCCCTTCCCTCCTTTACCCCAATCTTCCCAATCCAGTAACCATCAAAACGGTCTCTGTATCTATGAGTTTGTTTCTGTTGTTTATTTGTTTATTGTGTTCTCTACACTCCACATATAAGTGAAGTCATAGGGCATTTGTCCTTCTCTGTCTGGCTTACTCCACTCAGCACAACACCCTCTAGGTCCATCCAGGTTGTTGCAGATGGTAGATTTCATTCTGTTTTATGCTAATATTCCACTGTGCATATGTATCGCCTCTTCCTATCCACTCATCCATTAATGGACACTCAGGTACCTCTATCTTGGCCATTGTAAACAATGCTGCAGTGAACATATGGATGAAAATGTTCCCTCAAAGACGCATTTTGGGTTTCTTCGGATAACTACTTAGAAGTGGGATTACTGGGTCCTTCTTGTCTCTTGTTACAGCCTGTTTTAAAGTCTATTTTGTCTGGTATAACTATTGCTGCCCCAGCTTTTTTGGTTTCATTTTCATGAAATATCTTTTTCCCATCCCTTTACTTTCCATCTGTGTGAGTCTTTCAATCTGAGTGAGTCTCTTGTAGGCAGCATATGTAACGGTTTTGTTTTCTTATCCATTCAGCCCTCCTATGTCTTTTGATTGGAGCATTTAATCCATTTACATTTAAAGTAATTGTTGATAGATATGTAGTTATTGCCATTTTATTATTCATATTTTTTATCTTTTTTCTTCTTAAATAAGTCCAACATTTCTTGTAATGCTCTTTATCTGTCCTTCAATTCTAAATGATAGCTTTGCTGGGTAATCTTGGTTATAGGTTCTTGGTTTTCATCACTTTGAATATTTCCTGCCAATCCCTTCTGACCGGCAAAGTTTCTATTGAGAAATCAGCTGACAGTCTTATGGGAACTCCCTTGTAGTAACTGCTTTTCTCTTGCTGCTTTTAAGATTCTCTCTGTATTTAACCTTTGGCATTCTAATTATGTGTCTTGGTGGGAGCCTGTTTGGTTTCATCTTGTTTGGGCCTCTCTGCGCTTCCTCGGCTTGTATGTCTATTTCCTTTACCAGGTTAGGGAAGTTCTCGGTCATCATTTCTTCAAATAAGTTCTCAATTCCTTGTTCCCTCTCCCTGTGATGTAAATATTGATGTGCTTGATGTCCCACAAGCCTCTTAAACTCCCCTCATTTTTTTGGATTCTTTTATCTTTTTGCCGTTCCGATTGGGTGTTTTCTGCTACCTTCTCTTCCAAATCATTGATTCAATCCTCTGCTTCATCTAATCTACTGTTGAATCCATCTAATGTATTCTTTTCTTTTTTTTTTAAGATTTTATTGAGGAATTGGGGGATTTTATTGAGGAATTTATTGAGAACAGCGTTGGGGAATCGGGGAAGGGAAAGACAAGTTGCTGTCCTTTTGTTCTTCAGTCTAGCTGTGGAGGATGTCGCTTCACTGGCCCATGTTGATATTGTGATCATTGCACTCATCCCGGCTGAGGCAGATCTGTCACTGGCCATTGGACGGCCA